AGCAAACATTCACACATACATACAAACAAACATACATATATACATGTGTGCAAAAATGCGCACAAGCCTAGATACATAGTTTCATACAATTATGCTAGAGGTAGAGAGGGATCAGACTCCCACGTACACACACGCAGCCATAGGCGCATACAAAAGGTGGAATGCAGACACACGCACATACACACACACACACACACAAGATGATATTGCTGATTAGAGGGTACCGTCTCCAATGCCTCTTCTTCCCGGAAGCAAATGTTTACATTGATCACTTAAAGCAACCTCGACTACCTGAACGGCTTCCCTTGCAAGCACGTATGTACTGCTGTGTATGTAGCCACTTTGATCCGAAAGAGAAGGGGATTCAAAGACTTGAGACGGATCTTGCCAACCCAGTTGGTTGTGCACCCACGTGTAGTGAGTCCTTGCAGCAGTACATCCCTGACCGCCCAACCCGGAGCCCGGAGTCGTCAAGGCATCTTTGGCTACACCCGGTTGGTCGCCTCGTAGTCAGGTCATTCTGGGACCTTCCGATTGTGGACAGGCGACAGACAACCGGTGGTGCCGGAGATGCCGACCTCGTGAATGCGAGCTGTACTTTCAAGGAAGCTTTCACGCACCACTTTGCTGCAGCCAAACTCGTCGGATTTTTCCGATTTTAGTCGCTCCATTTTGTCAAATAGACTCCTTTTAATGGATCAAATTAGCAAAATGCTTTGATTCCATTTCGTTATATTTGATGATTTATAAATATGAATATTTAGTAAGTGAGTCTTTAATACAAATTTAGTCACCATAAGTCGCTTAAGGTCCTACAATGCTATGAGATGGAGTCAAATTATTGTCACCACTTCTTTAATCGCAGTCTCCTGTCGATGCATAGAAATAGTTTCGCCTCGTTTTCACAACTTTTTCATGTTGTCAGGGCGACATATTTGGACGCACTTTGTCCAAAGTCCTCTGCTTGAGTGGAACCAGCGTCGGAACATGGATTCGGTACAAGTGACTGTTTGCAGTGAAGGAAAAGTTGGTTGGAAGGAATAAATGATTTGGTCTCAACGGAAAGCAAAATAGGATAACCGTGAAGTGAAGACTGTCTTATTGTACCAAGTAGTCCTCAGCTTACCGCTGTGCGTCTCCGAAGAACCTGTGCTAAGCTTTCGTCTGTGCTACAGTGCCAGACATCATCAGAGCAGGAATCTACACATTAAAAATAGAGCAAAAACATGCTACACAAAAAGAAAATGTGGCCGGCTTCAACCCTAATCGCTTTTTTATGAACACCCAATAATAATATTGTTAGAGGGACCTTCATTTCGTATAAAAGTGCATGAAGAAGAGATTCGTTGGTCGATCTCACCAGAT